GGAGCTTAGCTGTCTGGCTTTAGAACACATTTCTGAGAACAGGTAGCACTTAAGGGATTGAAACGGCTCTATTTTGCATTTTTTAGAGCTCGTCTTGGTAAGACTTAAAGTCTAAGTCTTGGGCAAGATGGGAGTCTTACAAGAACTCCGCCCTTATTTTATTTCATACACGTACCACATGTGGAGCCTGTCATTTACAATGATCAGATATTCCTTTTCATGCTTCTTGCCGCTCCTTTATTTACTTGAATGTGAACAGCCTGACAATAAAAGTTTAACCTGCATTTGGTAGAGTTTTGTTAATTCTGTATCCTGAAAAAAATTCAAAATCACAATGTTTTCACTCTGTTATAAGAAGCAAATTTGGACATCATATTATATTTCATCAGTTTTCTCAAAGTGTCAAAGAACTATAATTAATATTTTGCTTTTTGGATGGCTTTTTGTGATCATCAATGATTCAATCCAATGATGAATTTACAAGCGAAATAATTTACAATACCATTCCCTGCTGTACCTATATCATTAACTTGATTAATAATAATCATCATGAATATTCAGGATGGAAAAATATTTGGTATCTTTGCAGTACATAAATTTCTTTTTAGTTGTTTTTCATATGATTACTCTGCCCAATATATGTTGATAAATGTCTACCATACTGGCATAAAATCAAACCTTGAATAAATACTATTATTAATAATGAATAATTTGATTATTTCTAATATGTAGTAAAAAAAGAAAGTGCTCTTAACTAATCTTTGTGTACTGTGCAAACCTATTTGCAGGTACGTTAGTGAAAGTACTTCCCTAAACATTTAATCAGCTGAATAAACAAAGAGATCACACTTACCATGTCTATATTATATTAAGTACATTTTGTATATGAAATAAACATTTGACATCCTCATTTAGCAAAGGAGCACCCAGACTTTCCTCCTGTCATATTTAATGACTCATGATAATGGCATCGTCTTAATATGCAATATTTCAACATTTTAAATTTGCTCTATAGCAATGATTAACCACTGGGAACTTGCCGATTTTTAAGGCTTAGACTTAGCTTTAAGAAAACATATAGTGCAACATAATCAAAATTATTAGTAATAAAAAAATTGATTTTTCTTCTCATACAGATTGGCCAAAATATAAATTCACCAAAAATGTTTTCATCTAGCAGAATTGACTGGTAATACTGGCACAGATGGGGGACCTTCCTGGTTTCCTAATTCAATACTTTCATGCAATGAATTATATAGTAAGCTGATGATAAATTATAAGCTCCATTATATATACTTTTATATTAGATAACATAAAATGCAGAATCATCAAAATTTATTAGTTATGAAGAAAGTGGTTTTTATCATTCAGATTAGCCACCTTCTTGGTTCCCTAATTCAATACATTCGTGCAGGGCAGTTTTTAGCCACAGAAAGCCATGGTGCACCTTCCCGGTTTTCTAATTCAATACTTTTGTGAAAAAAAATTTAAAAATGAATTTTATTCTCATACAGATTGGCCACAATATAAAGTTACAAGAAATATTTTCATCTGGCAGAATTGACCTGTCACAGCCACAGATATAAGCCATGGTGCACCTTCCTGGTTTCCTAATTCAATACTTTCATGCAATGAATTATATAAGCTAATGATAAATTATAAGCTCCAAGATAACATAAAATGCAGAATCATCAAAATTTATTAGTTATGAAGAAAGTGGTTTTTATTATCATACAGATATAGCCACCTTCTTGGTTCCCTAATTCAATACTTTTGTGCAGGGCAGTTTTTAGCCACAGAAAGACATGGTGCACCTTCCCGGTTTCCTAATTCAATACTTTCGTGCAGGGCAGATTTTACGAGAAGGAATGTCTTACGGGAGCGCAGTTTTGCCCTCTCCTCTCTTCAATTATTGATGCCCATCCCTGGCTAAGGCTCCCAGGCTTCCAATGAAATATACATGACTGGCTATGATTACATGGCTTTGTCTAGAGCAGCGCTAAATAATCTGGGCCATTCCCAAATTGACACCTTAGGCAACCTGATATATAAACTGTAGCTTAAAAAAAAACTTCGAGCAAGGTTTCAGCCTTGGAACAAATTTTACAAATCCTTGTGCAATATTTCATACATATTTGCAAAGATCACTGTCTAGAGCAGCGCTAAATAAACGGGGCCATTCCCAAATTGACACGTTATATAGGCAACCTGATAACTGTAGCTTTAAAAAAAACCTACTTCAAGCAAGATTTCACTTCAGCCTTGGAACAAATTTTACAAATCCTTGAGCAACAATTTATACATATCTGCAAAGGTCATTGTCTACAGCAGTGCTAAATAATCGGGGCCATTTCCAAATTGGCACGTTACTAGACAACCTGATAACTGTAGCTTTAAAAAAGAATCTTCAAGCAACATTTCACTTCAGCCTTGGAGCAAATTTTACAAATCTTTGAGAAACATTTTATTCCTATCAGCAAAGGTAACAGGTTTCCAAAGTATCCATTTCAAACCTTGTATCAAAAAGGGTGTAACAGGTGCAGAGAGAATAATGTGACCCAGGCAGAGTCAACAAACAGGTGACACTTACTGTAAAGGGAAACCCTTTCCTACTGAACAGGCCTTTACAACATCATGCGATTGGGATATCTGATTACTGTTATACACAAGCAAAATCCTTCTTACCTTAGACTGCAGTTGAAATCGTCACAAGTCCAGATCTTGTGCTGTGAATGAAGCGAAGACGATTATGAAGTCTTTCTCTTGCAGTCAGCTTTTAACACTGAAATGCAACACAACATCCACACATGTACCGGGGACTAAAAGGCTGATCCCAATCAAAAAGCTTTCCTGTGCAAAAAGGAGCGGCACACAGCTCGTGGACTGTGCCACTACTTCAAAGGGGTGTCCTATTCCCCTTATTACACCTGTTGCCATTCACACTGTATGATCTCAGAGCAGTGGTGATTTTGCTTCAATTCTTAAAGTAAATATTGGTTTGCAAATTGCACTGTTGACATGAGTCGTAAGAAAGGCAAAGAATTTAGGTTTGGAAATAAACGCTTGAATTGTCAGTAATAGACCTGTTGGAACAGCTGTCAGGGATCATGCCAAAAATGTTTCTTCTCCAGAAGAGAATTGTTGCCTCCAAATACATTGTATTAGCTCTGAAATGCTGTACGGTAGAGTGAAACAACTTCTGAATCAGTGGCTACAATAGAAAGCATTGTGCATTGTGACCTGGTAACAAATTTAGGCCATTTTTTATGAGAAAGTGTGTAAATTGGGGAACTAGTAGGCCTAGGGAAAAAAAATTGTGTTTCCTGTTTCAGTCAGGGAATAATTTATTTTCTAAGGTAGGGAGGGATTATCTTTATTTTTTTCTTCTAAAATTTTTTTAAAGACTTTGGTGATCTATAGCGATCCAACTTATACAAATATACAAGAATTTGTAGTAAAACTTGCATGAGCACACTTCTATTTTCAATGTAATTGTTTGAAAAGCAATTATATAACGTTTCATCCCACAGGTGTCAGATCACTGACGGAGCTATAAAAGGTCGATTAGATAAAAAAATTTATGTCCCTTGCAGGGATCCACAAAAATGACTGGGGTCAGGAGTTCTTTCTAGGGTTTGTTGGGAAACAGGAAACACAACATTTTTTTTTCTAGGCCCTACCACCCCCGCTGCATGCCAACAATGCAGTGAACCACACACCTGTTTTGGTTGGCTGAGCTGCGGAAATGGCCACGCCTACCTGATGACAAACAAGAGGGCTCAGGTTCATTTGGCACTGATGATTGTAGGTTAGTCACCCTTTGGTCAACAAAGGATCGCTGTTAATTGACACACCCTTTCTGTCTATGGATGTAAAAACTGCATGATTTTTTTCAACTTTCACAAGTCTCATATAAATTACTATGTTCTGTTCTGTACAGTACTAAGATCTGACCTTGATTCAACATGTAAGAAATTCCCCCCAAAAAAGACATGGAATTTTTTGACCACCTGTTTCATTCCTGCCTCCAACAATTTGGAACATTTTCTACACCATGTACTGTTGCTCACAAAAATATTTGTATTAAGCTAACAGTTATATTTTCAGCAAAAAAATATGTATGAAATCTCAAATATATCTGACTATAAAAGGAAACAATGAGCATTATACAAGCAGCTAGTGAAATATAACAATCTGCATACTCTCACTCTGCATACTATTAAGTATAAATTGAAATTGTTTGAAAGATAAAAACATTTTAGCTGCATCAAATGATCAAAATGATATTGGATGGTTCAATGTTATCTAGTACTATAATCCTACATTTACTATTAATAAATCATTTGATCACCTTGAATATAAGATGAGACAAACACAAATAAAAGAAGAAAGGAGATACATACATCAGCGTGTTTCCGTGTCCGTTCCAGTCCCTGCACCTCCTCAGAAATCTGCAGTCTCCTTCGCTAGATGGTGTGATGACTCAAAAGCACCCTAATATAGGCTGCCCTGGGCAAAGATTAGGACCCTATCTACATGGAGGTGTGAAGTATTGCCGTTAATATTTCATGACCACATCGGGATGGTGGGAAGATTTCCGCTACTGATTCGAGTTTTTCTAGAGCTAGATTCACCCCTCGAGTTATTTAACTTCACATCAGTACATTGTCAATTTGTTTACTTTTGTTTGTTTTTAACAATTCTCAGTCAATACCATGCAGATGAACCTACGTTTTTACCAAATCTTCAGCCAATAGAAATGAATCTTGGACAAACAGTGCTGATTTACAAAATGTACATACCACATGTATTACATGTAGATAAAGAAAACAGTTTTGAACAATAAAAAATGGATACAAAAAAACACTTTTTCTTAGTGCAATTGATAGTAATTGGCAGAAGTAATTATAGCAATTACAAAAAGTATATTGTTTTAAAAGTACCAAGAATATCACAAATTGTTTCATTAGTGTCCTTCTTATTTAAACCATTCCCTCCAAAAACAATTTTACTTTGACAATATAAAAGCATATTAACTTTCCTTTATTGGCTGTTAGAGTTTTAAGGTAAATTGTAACTGTTACACTGATACTTTTTCCCATCTTCATTTGTGAAACACTCCAGAGTGCTGAAATGCCATCATGTGGATTTAGGTGGTACTGCACCCATTCTCAGCTGTTTTGACATACAGCCAGGTTTCTCCATTAAAGACATGTTTACAATTAAATCCCAAAGGTCACACAACTGTGTAAACACACTTCTTTTGGCACAACATCATTTTCGTCACAGCTGTAAGTTTGCCCATGCATATCCTATTTCCTAGTCTGTTCTTTTCCAACTTGTATCAGAAAGAATGTTAATACGGCTAACATCTATGCTATTTATCAGGTCCTCACTATTCTGTGTCAATGTTAAATGGACAGGTAACTTTGAAGATGTTTACGTGCTGCATTAATTTTCTTTCATTCATTTATTCATACCTTTATTCATAGTCTATCAGCCATTCACTCACGTGCACTATTCTGACTTCTCTAATTTGTGTCATTACAGGACCTTTGGTGGCAACATTCGGCAACGTAACAGATTTCGCTGGCAACAATGTTGACGAGAATGGCGACCATACTGTCACCCTTGCTCCTGCTGACCTTCGCTCCCATGTTAAGCCTGGCCTGTCCCCGTGGGTGCCAGTGTTACGGTGACGTTCCCTCGGTCCACTGTTATTACCTGGACATCACAACTGTGCCCTCTGGCTTTCCTCCTAACACCACGCTTCTCGCCATCCGCCATTGTAACATCACCACACTGCGCAGGGGTGACTTTAGGTACTTTTCTTTTTTAACAGTTGAATATATTCACTAACAGTTTTTGTTGAGGTCATATTTTCAAACCGGGGCCCAGTTGGGCAGCTTTTGGGAACAAAAAGTACGATTTAAAAGACAAGAAAACACAAAACATTTTAGAGTATTCATGAGTACAATTTTTTTTATATTCTTGATATGAATTGTCACATTTTCATTGATGCAAACGAGCCCGACCGGGCCCCTGTTTGGAAATGTGACCTCAGCATTACAGGTGTTGCGCCAGTTTTAACCATTGCAAGTTGTTGTTATCGATTGCAATATTTGTAAATTGCCTATCTATCTTATTAATGGAAAATACTGTTTGCTTGTAGTGAATTGTTTTTTAAATTAGTTTTAACTGTTTTTAAAATTTGTTTTTCATTTTTTAACTGCCTTGATAACCTGTGTATCAATCTGTTGTCATTGCCAATAAAGAAAGAAAATTTGTTATTTGTAAATTGGATTTAATTCACTGTTCCCAAGTTGCAATGTTCAATTAAGTGATCTTGAATCTTTCAGCGGCATGCCTCTGTTAGCGACGCTGTACCTCGACTGGAACAACATATCCACCATCGAGCCTGGGACTTTTGATGGCTTGTTTCACCTGCAATCTTTGACCTTCGGTGCGAATCGCGTCACTAAGCTCACCCCGGGCCTCTTCAAAGACAACAAGCTGACGGATTTTGATGCGTCTGACAACCGTATTGAATCTATACCGTCTGGCGTGTTCACCAATCATTCTAGTCTGACGGGCCTGATTCTAAACGATAACCGTATTAGCATGCTTGGTGCTGATGCCTTTGCAGGGCTGCCTCAACTCGTGGAGATCCAAATTAACAACAATCTCATTCCTCGAATCCCTGCTCACGCTCTGAAGGGCGCTTACAAGCTTTGGACTCTTTCGATGCCAGGAAACGCCATTTCAGAGATAGAAGAAGGTGCTTTTTCCGACTGCGCCTCTTTGTACAACCTCGATCTTAGCAACAACCTGCTGACCACTCTAGAAGGCACCTTGAAGGGTCTCACATTCTCGAACCTGAATTCCTTGACGGTTTCCGGAAATCGAATTCTCGAAATTACCAACAGCACCCTGACAAGTCTGACTTCTCTTCGGGACTGTTTTCTGGACCACAACAGGATCCGTAAAATCGAGAGCGGTGCCTTCAGAGGGATGGGGAACCTGAACAACTTCTACCTCGGCAACAATGAACTTGAAGAGATGCCGCTAAACGAACTTGAAGGCGTTCTTAAACTTGACCTAACGAACAACAGGCTACGGACTCCACCTTTGAACATGAGTGCCGCACCGAATCTTGCAATATTGATGCTTTCGGGCAACCCCATGAAGACCTTGGCACCATCACAGTTTTCAGGCCTCAAAAGTATCTTCGACGTTGATCTTAACAACGTGACGGCAGTGAGAGAACACACGGCAGATTTCCGCGCCTTGTGCGACGCTCCGACTTTAGAGTCTGTGTCCATGAACGACAACAACCTCACATCGTTCCCTTACAATCTCCTATCATGTGCAGGGAATGCTACCTATATCAGTGTGGCAGGCAACAGGATAACACAGTTCAAAAACGACGACTTTTTCTTCTTAAGAGAAATAGCACAACTGAACCTTGCAGACAACAGGATCACTGACATTTCTACGCTAACAAAAGCCCTGCAGACAACCCTCTTTATGTTCTCTTTGACTTTGACAGGCAATCCCATGGTTTTTCTCCCAGAAAAATTATATCCAGTTGCGAGCCTAGATCTCGATAACATGAAACTTTGCGCAGTTGACAAGGATGCATTTGAATGGATGGGCAAACTTGAGTCTATCAACCTGGCCAAGAACAGGCTCCGGTTCATACCAGGGAAGCTTTTTGCAAACATCAGTGTCGAGAAAGTCAACTTGGACGACAACCCCTGGCAGTGTGACTGTCAGATGTACGAATATGCTCTGTGGATGAAAACCAGTAACAATTCGGAGAAGTTTGACATAGTCTGCAAAGGACCAGAGAGGTTGAACGGAACATACTTGTCGGATATACCCCTTAAAAACCTTACATGTGACTGCGTTCATTATCAAGCGCCAGCTATTAATACCACAGGCAGTGACACCCATGTCAAGGCTGGCCAACGTGCACGACTGGTGTGTAACGTCGCAGGATGTCCCAAGGCAGCTGTCATCTGGACAACTCCACTCGGCGAAGCTTTCTCAGAGGATTCGGATGATCCTAGGTTCACCGTTTTGCCAGACGGAGGATTGGAGATTCGCGAAACAAAGATGACTGACGTGGGCATGTACAACTGTACAGCGATAAACTACCTGGGAACTAGTCAGGAAAGCGTTGGTCTCAAGGTTATGAGTTCCAAAACAGCAGTAGAGCAGTAAAATGACCACAGTCTGTAACTAAACATCTTAAAAGTTGACTGCTCAGCAAAGCAACAGCATTTGGTACACAAGACAGCTACAATGTAACCACAGGCTTTTCAACTTAAGTTTGAAAATGCAAATGTTCAAACACAATGTATACAGAATATCAATCATGTTTAGATAATATCTTACAGTCCAAATTTTCAAAAAAACCTTATAGTAAATGTTTAGGAATACATTAACCATTTCTGAAATTTATCTACCACATAATTATTCAATCTTGGTTAAGTCTGCATTTAAACATAAGATGTATAAACGTTGCACTATATAAGAACATACTAGTCAACCCTCTGTATCACTAACATATTCCATTATTCCTCACTCGGTTTTGCTGAAAGTTCTTCCTTTTTCTTAGCATACAAGTCTACAAGATATTGGTCCGGTTTCAAGTTTTTCTCCTCTAGTTCTTTCCACACTTTTTCTGCTCTCTCTAGAGTTCGAGCGCTCTGCAGTTTTCTGCCAATAAAGTACAGTTCAAACTCATTCTTGCCGAGCAGTTTACACGAATCTAGCTCACACAGATTCTTAGTCTTGCTCCGATCCAGCTGAGGGTAAATACTGAAACCTGCAGACTTTTCTAAATCTTTAATCGGAACCTGAAAGTCTGTAAGGTTCTGGTAGCCGATTCGTTGGTTTGGAACGACAAAAGCAGCGATAGAAGTTGGTGTGTTGAATCGCTCTGCAACAACTACTTTATACAGATGAGTGGGGACGGCTACTTCACTCCCTCCTATCACCTGCAAGACAAAGATGTGGAGTAGAAAAGGGTGGGGGTCCTTCCCAGTGTCTAACTCTAAAGCCTTGGTCACAACCTGCCGTACATGTTTTTTGTTCGTACATTTTTTGGGGAGGCCGTTTTTCTGAAAACGTGGGGAAGAACTGGCATGAGCAGTACGTCAACGCACGTCACTCACTCGGTTGTGTAAGGTGTAAGTATGTGGTCTGCACGCCATGTCTGGCTGTGAGCGGTTGTGTGCATCGTTCGTTGCGTATTAGTGGTGAGTTGTACATGCTTACAACTTATGATCTCTACGCCATTGTCACTTTACCATATGCAGGTCGTCTAATTACACGTGCTGCTTACTTGTACGTACCGGTATGTACAGCGCACGTACATTGCCCATACTTGCTCGTATGAGGGGTGAATCCGCAGCCTGCATGCAGAGAAAGTTTTACATGCGCTTAAAGTTCTGAGTTTTTGCTGTTTTGGTTAACATATAGTACATGCAATTTATTTGAAGAAATTTTCCTTTACTTACTGGGTACTTGACCACTTTCTGTTGACCGTCCTGAGTGGGCAGATAGAGCGGACCGGACAGCACGTACACATCCTCAAACCTGCTAGCCAGGTCCCGGCAGTACATCTCAAACCTGGGATGAGATGAACTCGTTTATTGGTACATCACACACTAAAAGTACAAAAGCATAGCCCTGAGGCTAAATTGCAGGGTATTATTATAAAAAAATTGAAGAACCTTCCAACATCAAGTGATGCATAGGGTGGCGCCCATCTCTGTTTTATAGCCCTGGGCCACACACAGTAATATTATACATACTATAAAATACCCCCCAAGACTGTTAGACTAAATATTTACATTTGGAGGACGCTGACAGACATTCTTACATAGCATTCAAGAGCTGAACACAATATGGTAAGGTGGTCTTCATAAAGCTTTAAAGTGAGATGTTTGACAATTGAACTGGCAAAAGTTGTTTGAGTTTCTGAGCTTGCGGCCATGTAACATTACCTGTTCCAGAACCCTGCATTGTTGTCCAGGTTCTGTGGGACGATATTGGACAGCAGGAATGTATCGTTCATGGCTTCCTATATGGGGGGAAAAAACAAACAGGCAGTGTTAGGATCAATCATATAATGAGCAGCAGTGGAAACATTTTATTTGTAACCTGTTAACTATTCATTTGGCAGTTCCATGACCATTACAACCTATATTTTTATTCTATAGTATCTTAACAAAAAGCTGACAGAAAATCTGAAATTTTAATAGTGTTTTGTGTGGCCACAAGCTTTTGTAGTCTAGATCTATTGCTGTCTGTTCAACAGAGCATGTAACTTTTCAGAGGTGGGAAACAGGACAGAATTAATGCTATCTGTGAACAAATTAATATTAAAAAATGTACCTTGTCCATGTCTTGTTCATTCTTTTTCTAAGCTTGCATATTTAAATATACTGCAGAAAGTTATTCCCACCAAACTGCACAAACCATTGCTGACTTGTCTACTGTACCTGACTAAACTTGTTGTCCCCCGCTGGTGCCATGTGCCCCCTGGACCAGCCACTCTTCCAGTAGTCCTCGTTATGTGCTGTAAACATTGGGTCAACGTCGGGGTCTGGTCTGAACTTGGAGTGTTTCCGGTTGGCTGGACCTATCCAAACATACAGTACTCAATATGTGTGCAATACCTTAAAAGGTTTTTATTTTCCAAATAGTGCCCAAGGCATACACTGTGTGACTGCGAAGCTGGACAGGTGTGTTACGCCGAAA